CATAACCTTTTCTCCCAGTTATTCTTTGAAAAGATTTTTGCTTGTGAAAAGAAAGGAAAATAAGAAAGGAAATGGGTCTTGACTGCCAAGATATTTGCCAAAAAAAAAAAAAAAGCTGACAATTTGCAAGTATTTGAAAAACATCTTTAGGGAACAGGCTTCCCTTTATTCTGATTTTTGAGGCTCACCACACACTTTCTTCTGCCCTACAAAGATGTAGCCCTGGACAAGACAGCTGGCATCTGTGAGCCTCAGCTTTTTCATTTGGAATGTGGGAAAGATGTTACCTACATCACAGGCTTCTGTAAACATTACAGGAAGGAGGCTGAGCTTGCAGTAAAAAACTGAACACCCCAAAAACCCCAAACAGTCCCTTCCCACCTCTATTCCAGTAAACAACACTCAGAGATCAGCAGCAGCCTTGTTCTCCTGATGTTGCTCCAGGAGTCAGAAGTGTTCTTCAGAACAATTTTGCAACTTTGGACTGGTAAGTCTACCCTGAAAAGAAAAGTGGGGAGGAAAACAGCTGAGGTGTAGGGTTTGAGAAACAGAAAAGCAGGGCATCCTGGCTGGCAGCAGGCACCTGCCAGTATTCCCAATAGTGCTCCTTGAAACAAGAGTAAATGCATGGACCAGGGATTTATTTAGCTCAGTGGCACCACACCTGCTTCGAAAGCACAAGGTCCAGAGTTCAATCCCCCGTAACAAACAAACAAAAAAAGAATAAATGCTGTTGTTACATGATCACAAAAAGCACCACTAGAAATGTTCTTAAATCACTTAATGAAAAGCACATTTAACATATTCCATATGGTTCTTGTTATGGTTTATATCTAGATTTCCCCTCAAAGCTTCACACACTCATAGGTGGTACTTTTGGGAGTGGCTGAATCATGGGTATGTGATACTAGATTAGTCCACTGATTGCTTTAGCATAGTTCTGGGTGTGGATGATGGACTTCCTGGAGAGAGAAGACCCACCCTGGGTGTGGATGACACCAACCAATAGGCTTATAGCCTGGGTGGAATAAGAAGGTTAGGAAGGAAGGCCCACTGCTTCCTGCCTGCCATGCCCCTCTGCCAATGCTGCCTGCCTTGGAGCCAGCCAATTATGACTTTAGTCTCTGCAAACTGAGGTAAAATAGAACTTTCTTCACTTGTGGATGTCAGGTATTTTATCCTCACAATGAAGAAGGTAATTAAGACAGTTCCCTTTGCATTTCATGCATAACTTCATTTCCTAAGTCAACCAATATGCGAAACTCTCCCCCACCTCACATCTTTCTACAAGCCATAAATGCACTTTCACCCCCTTTTACTGGCCACCTTATTTACCTGGTTTTTTGTTTTTAGGTATCAGACACTATCACTGAAGCTGGGAGGATACATGAGAATCCATTGTACCATCCTCCATTCTTTCAAGTATGTGCAAAAGTTCCATAATAAAGTCTTTAACTCACTCTTTGGAGTCAAGTGTAGCAGTGCACACCTGTAATCTCACCACTCTGGGCGGCTGAGGAAGGAGGATCCCAAGTTGAAGCCCATCGGGGCAACTTAGCAAGACATTGCCTCAAAATAAAAAGGGCTGGGGATGTTGCTCAGTGCAAAAAATCAAGGTTCGATTCCCAGTACTGCAAAAAAGAAAAAGAAAAAAGGAGAAAAAGAAAAAGGTCACTGGGGGGCGGCAAGGCAGGAGGATCACAAGTCTGAGGCCAGGCCAAGCAACTTACTAAGGACCTGTCTCAAAATAAAGAGCTGAAGAAGTAGATTACCATTTCCTGGGTTCATTCTCCAGTACAAAAAAAAAGTTATTCTTTAATACAAGAAATCAAAGAGGCCGAGGATTTAGCTTAGTGGTTCCACCACCTGCCTTTTAAGTGCAAGGTCCCGAATTTAATTCCCAGTACCAAAAAAAAAAAAAAGAAAGAAAACCATGGTAGATCATCCCAAGTGGACCAATTCCCACCTGTCCATAAACCTGAACTGCAACTCCTCATTAATGAATATGCATCATTTGCCTACTACCTCATGGCTATGTTGATTATCACTAAATTATTTTATGTCATATATTGAGGATATGCTGTGATCATTTAATATGTACTATATTTAATTATATCATTTAATATTACACATGTATGCTGCCCAAATTCATTACACTAGATCTGAAGAATGAAAACACAAGAGACAGAATATCTTCATGGGAATGTCAGGGACTCCACCGAACTGACTTAACTCCATTTTATTGAGAAACAATAAAACAATAAACAATTGAGAAACACCCGCTCTTTTGAACAGGGGAGCATATTTTATATTAGAAAGGCATGATGACAATTATGTGAATTGTTAGCTTTATCAAATTGTTCCCAGGATGTTGCTCTTTGTTTCGCCAGCAAGGCTTGCCTCTGCCGGAGCTGGCACACCTTATCTTCAAGAAGTTCCAAAACCTCAGGGCCAGCAGTGTTCTGCACCACGTCCACTTGAGCAGATATACACCTATTGGGTGCCAAAAGGAACTCCACATAAAGCATAAAGAAGCAAGTATTAAACCAAGATCCTATATTTTTTCATGAGCTCTAATGCTAACAATATAAAATTATTTTCAAAGTGTTGTGTGGGGCACATATGTTTGGGCCCCTGCAATAAAGCTGAGGTTTTAAAACAGAAATGAGTATCAGGAAGAAAAGCGTTTTCTTGATCCTTATCCCAAAATGGGTGTAGAGAACCAGGCACACTGATACTCTCCACAGGTCCTGCCTATGTAAGAGCCCCACAGACCTGCAGCAAGACTGGCAAATAGCCATCAGCAGTGCTCACCTCCTGCCACCCACCCCACCTCCTCCTCATGACTCTACCTCTCCAGGACTACACACCCCACACACCTGCAGACCTTCAGCCCATGTTCCTCACAGGTCTCTGAACAGACCAAGCTTCTCTCTGGCAGCACCCAACTACCAGAAACCTTGCCAAAGCACTACCCAGAGAGGACAGGAAGTGGCTGTGACTTGGCAATGAAGATCTAGGTCTTCCTAGCATCTGGGTGCTAATGGCAAAAGAAAAATAACATAGCAATACATAGCTAATGTTTCGCGTGCTCACTGCATGTGAGGACCATTAGATGTGTTTCCCTCTATGAAGCGGAGGAATTTCATGACATCGAAAAATGATCAAAACAAAAATAACAAAAACACTTTGCTGAGAGGTTAGGGGGAAAAATCATGTACAAAGACTCACAGCTAAGAGGCAGAGCTTGCAACAAATAAGGGCAGGTAGATACCAGATGTCTTTACGATGCTATGAAGTTTTGGTTAAGCTCAATTTACAAGACAAATACCAGGACATGAGTGATAACCTGGTGAAAGTAGCATAGAAACATCGAGGACACAGTCAGTTGACAATTCAGTGTGTGCTGCAGGGAGATGGCCAATAGTAGGAAAAAAATGTCAGCAACCTTGGTGACTTGTTCTCAGCCAGAATGCTAACTTTAGTAACAATGAGAACCATAACTTGGAAGAAAATCAGAGTCTGTAGCTCAATTCACCCTCCTCCCAAGTGGCAAAATTTAAAAGGGCCAACCAGGTTTCCACCAGACAAGCGCTTGGAGAACACTAAGGCACAATCCTAGAGTACAGGGTTTACGTCAGATGCCTGAAATGGTAATATGACTGCAAACACCAACCAACTCTGATTTTTCTGGGACAATCCCGATCTCTGGTACTCTTCTTATAATCAAACCAGGTTACAATTTCAAATATATGATCACCTTGCTGGGTTAGTACTGTCCATCCATTCTCTAGTGTTATTAGAGTCCATGTGGATCACATCTTTCAAGTAACATACTTACCTCAAAAATTACTACACGGTACTCTAATCAGTGTTGTTTCATTTTCTCTTAATTATATTCTGGTTTTAATCATCACTCTACCTTCAAGTTCAGAAGCTGATTTTTTTTTTTCTTTTGGTACCGGGGATCAAACTCAGGCCTTTGCGCTTGCGCAGCAGGCGGCGAAACCACTGAGCTAAATCCCCGGCACCTATGAAGCTGATTTTTTTAAGTCCCAAACTCCACACGTGAAACACTTCCAGAACAACTAGAGTTTGGACTTTCCTCACTGGGGAAGATGAGGGCACTAATCCAGAGTAGGTGGTGGGGTGGAAGGTCTCCAGGAGGAGATGAGCTATTCCTGAGGAAAAGACGCAAGCTTTACTCAGTAGCTGCACTCTCATTTATGGACTGAAATGTGAAAATAACTGCATTTGAGAAAGGGTTCTGCTACTTTCTAAGAATTGGCAAACCACTAATCAACACAGTTCTCGGAGGTTTCTTCCCAGTGTTAAATTATGGTTTTAACATTTTAAAAATAATTTTAGTGTATGCTGGCAGTATGGTTTTAACTTTTTAAACTTCCTTATTCAACAAATATTTGGAAAGTGACTTACTCTGTGGCAAGACTCTGTGCTAGTCATGGGAGTAACAGCAGTGAACAGGATGTCAATACAGACTGCCCTCAGGGGACACATGGGGGGAAATTGTTTGGTTTTGGTTTTGTTGTTGTTTGCAACACAGAGAATTGAACCCACAACCTCTGGTCTGAACTACATCCCCAGCCGTTTTAATTTTGAGACAGGATCTCCCTAAATAAGAGTCTGCCTAAGTAGCCCAGATATTCAAGAGGCTGAGACAGGAGAATTCCAAGTTTGAGGCCAGTCTGGGCAACTTAGCAAGACCCTTCTCATAATAAAAAATGAAAAGGGCTGGGCATGTAGCCTGGGTTCAATTCCTAGTACTGCAAGAAAAAAAAAGAACACGATAGTGATGGAAAAATATGTTCAAAGGCAGTAACCAAACAATTCTATTTTATGTTTCCTCAAGTATTAAAATGAAATGGCAAGAATCTAGACATTTAGCTGTTATATATTTCTTCATGGACACTGGTCCAAGCATCCCTTCTCTATTGCCCCTTACTCAGAAGACACAGGTAGAACCATATAAACAAAACTCATTGTAAGTTGAAAAATCAAACTAGATTTTATTAAAATATACATAAGTAACCATCATTTTTTATCATTTCATTAGAATTGAGAAGTAAAAATTGTCCTGGTATAGAGAAATGAAGGCCAAAAGACTCAAGAAAACCATCTTCCAGACAGATCTACCACTTACCAGTCTGGAAAAGGCCTTTTGTATTGTGTCCGTGGTTCAAAATATATGTTGTCTGGGATCAATCGCAGTTCTAAAATCTTACTGTTTTATAATGCTGACATTATGTATTAAGTACATGGCAGCTACTATGAAAAGAGAATGAACACTGAATTCACGGAAATACTTTTAAGGAAGACATGAGTAATAAAGAAGTTTGTTACTTCCAAAATGCATTGATTTACTGTTTTATTCACACCAACTAGAATATATATATATATATACACACACACACGAAAAATGTGTATCATGTTGCTTTCAAAAAATTCCATGTTCCATGAGAACTATATAAACAATGTAAAATATTTCTGCTACGTAACAAAAGAAAATCAGAATTCCCGTACAGTATTAGGAAAATATTTAGATAATTTGAATTTATAGTAAAACAAAGTGAAACATTGCAGAGCATCTTTTCATGAAGTAGTTTTATATCCTAGAAGCAGTACATTTTGTACTTTCAAGCACTTTGGTATAAATGAAATCAATGCAAGCCAAAAAATAAAATCTCTATTTTGGTTCTCACATGAACTGGAACATCAGCAACGGGGCAACTGTACAACTACCATTGGTGACAAAATGTAAACTCATAATGTGCTCCTTCCTTCTACTGGGGGTGGTGGACAGGCCAGGAGAGCTCTTCAGGGTTCTGGAAAGGAAGGAACACAGCTGGGCTGTTGGCAATGCTGCTGAGGCTTTGTAAACCCTCATATCCAGCTCGGTGCATCAGTGATCTTGGCCCCTTCCTCTTCACAAACAGAAATGACCCTGCATCAAGGCAGCTCAGAACTACAATTCCCATTTAAAGTACAACATAAGTTCTAAAAATCACGTTATTAATAGCGTCTCAAGAAATCAGTAAAGAACATACTGCATTAATAAAAGAAAAATCTAAGTTTAATTGTCCACTGACAATAGTTCTTAAACAAAACTATTTGCATGCTACAAATATTTCTTCATTGAGGTCACACTTAACTTTGACAGCTATACAACCAAACAAATCTGAGGAATTTTTCATTGCATTATTTTTATAATTGCGTCTTTTCATCTATACTGTCCAAATGTGGTACTGATTTTTTTCATTATCTTTTTGCACTGTATATTTTCTTTTAAATGATTCCCTACATCTGAGATTTGTATCTGAGCAACTGTTGATGAATTGCTTTTCTGTCATTCATCACAGGAGAAAACTGGAAACATCCTTTGAGGAATCTCAGTGATGTAATTTATAGTGAGACTTTCTGTGAAGACAAATCTTAAAAAGAAAAAAAAATTCTCAGTAAATTTTATGAACTTAGAGTAGTAAGATAATACTGCACTGCTGTTTCAGCAAAAGAACATAGAGTCAAGTGCCCAACATTACAGACAAGTACTGCAGTGTGTGAGCCAAAGCCTTGTGGAATAAGAGTATACCAGGTACAGTCAATATAATTAAAGAGCCCAACAATCTTTGTAACAAAGCAAGTATGGAAAATAAAAGATAAAATTTTAAGTTGATTATCTGCCAGGTTAATTTTTAAAGAATAATTCTAAAAAGTATAGTAGTATAATTTAGCCAAGCTCATCTATGAATGAACCAAGTATATTTTAATTATTTTGTCGTATTAGTATTACATTAGAAGATTAAATTCTAGTCAAAATTTTAAAGATAAAAATAAGAGAAAATAAAATATTATGTTGAACAAATCACATGTGAAAGTTTTCATATTAGGTAACATCAAAATCCTAGGATTGGGCTGGGGATCTAGCTCAGTGGTTCCGCCACCTGCCTTGCAAGGGCAAGGACCCAAGTTCGATCCCCAGTACCAAAAAACAAACAAAATCCTAGAACTGCCATTATTTGGGTTTTGTTTTGTGGGGGGACAGTCACAGGAACTTACATCATTTCAAAATTAACTTGAGATAATGGTCAAAACTATTGTATACTAAGAACTTGTACTGCCAGATATGAAAAAACATAAAGCTAAAATTATTAAAACACCACAGGACATCCCACTGTTTTATGTAAAGAAAGATGCTCAGAAAAAAAAAAAGAAAGATGCTCAGAAAAGGGATCACAAAAAGAGTCAAAGGCCCTCCTCAAAGAGGGGACATCAAAATGGCTACAGCCTTAATGAGGGGTAGAGGGAAAAACCCTACACGCAGAAAGGAGGTGAAGAAGCCTGCAAAGGGAAGAGGGAAAAAAATTCTCTAACCAAATGGTAACTAAGCCCGCTCAGCCTGTGCATTTTGTGGTCTGAGTTCACACTCCTAGCATGTCCAAGAACATTCCAGCAGAGAAATCAGCTTAAGTAGACACAACCAGGTAGTGCCCCCCAGTGGCTGACAGAAGACAATGCCAGTTCTCTGGAACTTAACTTCCCCCTCAACACCTGATGCAAAGAGCTTTCTAAACTTAGGCTAAAGTGTGAAAAATACATGACTTGAAATGAAATATATTAGAAAGTTGATAGAAGAGATCAGAAAGCCCAAAAAAACAGGATGGAGTCTAGTTCAATGATACAGTGAACTGTTCCACATGCATGTGGTCCTGGAGCTGATCCTTAGCAGGACAAGAAAAAAGAAAGGTAAACCCAGAAAACAAATACTGATCATAAGATAGAAACATCAAATCACTGGCAAAAGGGTACATTAATTAATATATGGCACAGGCAAAAATGATTAACTCTTGCGCCGCCTGCCTTGCAAGCACAAAGTCCTGAGTTCGATCCCCAGTACAAAAAAAAAATGGTTAAACCTTTCTCAAGACCACTGTCTTAATTTTTTTGTGTGGGGGTGCCAGGATCAAACTCAGGACCTTGCCCTAACTAAGCAGGTGCTGTGCCACTAAGCTATATCCTCAACCCCATACTCTTTTAAACTATAAAGTAAATGAAAAAGTCATTTAGAAATAAAACAAAAGAGGGCTAGGGATTTAGCTCAGTGGTTTCACTGCCTGCTACACAAACGCAAGGACCCGAGTTTGATCCCTGGTACCCAAAAAACAAACAAAAAAGAAATAAAACAAGGTCATTTAGAAATATAACAAATATAAATATCTAAATACTTAAAATTTAAAGTATACTGGGCCGGGGATTTAGCTCAGTGGTTCTAGCACCTGCCTTGCAAGTGCAAGGTCCTGAGTTCAATCCCCAGTACCAAAAAAAAAAAAATTAAAAGTACATATATTATTTATTTTAAGACAAGCTACCCACCATACCCACCTATCCCAAATAAGCATTTAAAGCATAAACAAAAATAAAAGGCAAGTATCCACTGGAAAACGAATCTGCAAGGACTGAAAGTTAGTATCCTTAAAAATCGTAATTATAAATCTTTGAGAAACACGAGGACCCCACCTCACACCTCCAGAAAACTGCACAAAGGTCAAGAACAGGCAAGAAGAAGAAATATAAGGAGGCAGTTAAATACACCAAAAATGTTCCACTTCACTAGTGATGGAAAGGTAAATAAAAATTATATAATAATTTCTGACTATGAAACAGGCAACATTACAAAAAATACAGTAGCAATGCTCAGTGTTGGCAAGGGTGTAGAAAACAGGCATATTGACCACAGATACGAAAATTCAACAACTTTTCTAGAACGCAATTTAGCAATAAGTATGCATCAAAAAACTTTTCAAAGTATGTAATGTTCTGCCAGGCACAGAGGTACTGCTGTAATCTCAGCACTGTGGAGGCTATGGCAAGATCATTAGTTCAAGGCCAGCTTGCATTACATAATGAGACCATCTCGAAAAACAAGAGTAAGGGCCGGGGATTTAGCTCAGTGGCACAGCGCCTGCCTGGTAAGCACACGGTCCTGAGGTTGATCCTGGGTACCAAAAAAAAAAAAAGTGAGCTTAAGTGAAATAAATAGAACACACATGTGTAAATACCAAATAATTTCTCTGGTGTGAGAAAGTGTAAATGAGGACCAAAATGTATAATAATGTGAAATAGGAAGAAAAGGTCCAAAAAGAAAGGGGAAGGGGAAAGGGGAGGAAAGAAGGGAAAGGACAAAATACGAGAAAAGGAAAAAACGAAACAAAGTCTTTGTAAATAGGGAGGGGGGGAGGGGTTAAAGGGAGGGCAGGGGAACAGGGGAAAAATAGAATCAAGATATATCACGTATTGATGAATATCATCATACTGTATACCTAAAATGTACCGATAAACTTAATGAATAAAATAAAAAAAACAGTAAGTACAATACGTTTAGATCTAAAAATGCTACCTCTAGGAGTTCGTCCCAAACAAACAGAAATGCAAGTAGTATGCAAAACTATATGTCAGAATTATGGTATGATAATGAAAATCTGGAAAATCACCTAACACCAAACAATAAGGGATAAATAGTATAACTATAAAATGCAATGTAATGCAACTATTCAAATATATCATGGAAGTATTATTTGTACTAATAAAAGATTAGAATAACCTAAATTCTAATAGGGGACTATTTAAACAAATTAAGAGTGCAACAATCAAAGGAGTACACTAAAAAGAATGAGGCAGCTCTCATGTTCTGATATATATCCTCTCTACCTGAAAAGATATTCACGACTCACTTGCTGAAGTGGCACCTTACCAGAGACAGTGTTGCCCAATGCAACTGGTTTTTTTACTTTCTGTCTTCCCTAGAGAAAGTAGGACCCTTAAGGGTAGAGATTTTTGGTCCACTGCTGTGAACCCCAGCACCTAGAACAGCACCTAGCACTTAATAAGACCCTCAAAAAAATACTGGATGGACGGATGGATGGATGCATGGATGGAAAGATGGAAGCATGGATGGATGGATGGATATGAGACAATCTCCAAGACACAAAGGTAAGAACAGTTCGTTAATTCTTATATCACTTGTCTTTTAGAAATGAAAAAATTGTGTGTGTGTGCCTGTATGTACGTGTAAACACATGTCTGGAAGCATACAAAAAACTTGGATCATTGGTTACCTCTGAGTAGGGAAGCTGAGGAAGAGGTATGGGTGGTATTTTTCACTCTACCACTTTAAAAGTTGAATCAAGTATTATGTATAACCCATTCATAAAAACAAACAAGAACTGTCAATACCCTCACACACACATACACGGTGTAGGCTGATATGGGAAAATTATATCATAAATTAAGGGGAAAAAATAGGCTACAAAATAGCAACCAAGCTGGGTGTGAAGGCACATGTCTATAATCTCAACATTCTGAGTTGTTTTTTTTTTATTTTAATTTTAATTTATTTATTTTTGGTACTGGGCATCAAACTTGGGACCTTGAGCTTGCAAGGCAGGTGGCAGAACCACTGAGCTAAATCCGCAGCCCCTAGCATTCTGAGAGTTTAAAGCAGGAGGATCACAATTCAAGCCCAGCTTGAGCAACTCAGTGACTTAACAAGCAAAGCTTCTTCTCCAGTGATCACTCACTTCCCCTCAACCAGTCTGACCGCCCCCACCCCTCTGTGACATTAAAACAGCTTCGGTCAAGGTCACCAGTGATGTCCCCTGTATGACTACTTGCTTGAATATCCATAGAAAAACTGCTCTCAGGGAACACCACTTGTTTCTCTAAAATGAGACAGTGTAAGTTGAAGGGAATCTTCACTTACCATTAACCATAAGAAAACCAAAATGTGCTAGGAACTTTTATTTTGCAATTTATAACTCAGTACTTTGTATTTCACTTTTTTGAAGGCTTTAAAATTTCTAATTTAAAAAATACATATTGCAAATTTTTTTTTTTTGGTACTGGGGATCGAACTCAGGACCTTGCACTTGCGCGGCAGGCAGCGGAACTACTGAGCTAAATCCCCAGCCATACTGCAAATTTTTAAAAGTAATACATAATGTACTGAGGAAAAACAGGTATCTACTATCTTAGGAGGAGAGTTAGAATACACAGCATGCCCCATTTGCAGGTTGGCTAACTGATCACAGACTTAACCCCTTTCTCTTCCTTCCCTCTATGAGGATTGGGAATACTGACAATATCAACATCACAATCCCTCATACAGACTCCCGGGGAAGGGAACCTAGGCCTACTCAATAGATATGAGTGCACTTCTGGGCATACTTTTGCTTTTCTGCCCTTTCCCACACCTTATTCATGCTGTGAATAAAGACATGATGTCTGGAACTACAGAAGAATCTTGTAACCATGAGGCAGTAAGAGCCAACATAGAGGCAGAAAGGTATCAGCAGTCTGGGTGTTTGGTGGCATTATTCAACAGAGAAACCCTAAGGGCCGGGAATTTAGCTCACTTGTACTGTGCCTGCCTTGCAAGTGCAAGGTTCTGAGTTCAATCCCCACTACCACACAAACAGAGAAACCCTTTCCTATTACAGAAGAAAAATGAGTCTCTATTTGTTTAAGGTATTATGAAATGGGTTCTGGGATCTACAGCCCAATGAATTCCTAACTGGTATTCCTGGGAATACCTATTTTTTTTAAGAGAAACTAAAAATGAAGGAACTCAATTTCTATACAGATTTGAAAACAAGGTAATAAGTCAGAAATATATATTGCAAACCAATTCCCTTTCTTATGGTCTCTATTCAGAATTTAAACATCAACTACAAAAAATACCTCAGAGGAAACAGAAAAATTGCAGTCAACATCAACTCCATACAAATGACTTCAGAATGCAAACAATGAGAATTTATACATATAATAAGAATAAACTCACACAGTAAAAGGGAATTCTGATCAATGCTGGGGCTGCTCTGGACTAATGTTCATCGTTCGATAAATTTCTTTAAGTAGTAATAGGGCAGTATCTTCAGATTCCCTATTAAAAAGAAAAGCACATTTATTTAAGAGGCATTTAGTAGAAATTAACCTCTATGCACAAAAATAGTGAATGCAACTTTGTTGTTCTATTCAATTCTAAGAATACCAAACTGTGGCAGAGTACTGTGATCTGCCCTTAAAATATGCACAAACACAAACTGATAAACTGAAAAATAGTACTGCAATTCTTGGTGACAAGGACATAAAGAAGAATGGCTTTTCAAAGTCCCTACCACTTCCAATGTGAAAGACATGCCTACAAAAGCAGTGTGCAAGTACCAACGGTCTTGGTCAAAGGCAGATGACATATTGCCACCTTGTGGAAAATTCAAATTACATGCAGACCTACAAAGATTACAACAAGTCAGAAATATGTATCACAAACTAATTTCCTTCCTATCTCTATTCTGAATTTTTTTTTTTTTTTTTTGGTACCAGGGATCAAGCTCGGGTCCTTGCGCTTGCGCGGCAGGCGGCAAAACCAGCGAGCTAAATCCCCGGCCCTATTCTGAATTTTTTAGAAAGCTAAGGGAAAATGATATTTTAATATATGGGAGTTCAAATTATTAATAATCCCTATCAAATGATGAATCATTAAAACTTGAATGTTGTATGTACTCACACCCAAAGCCCACTCAAATATTATCAAAGTGAAGAATACTTACCAATAGCATAAGTGACTCTGAAGAGCGAAAAGATATTCATTAAAACTCTCTATTGGCTTTTCTTGAAGAACGTAATCAATTCGGCGGCCTCCATTTAACATTCCAACCTTTCCTAAGTAGTCCTCATCCTTGGAAAAATCTGGACTTTCAACAATCTTTTCTGCTAGAATTTAAACCATTTCAATATCAAAGTCAATCATTTAATTATTATCCTTTGACTTTAGCTGACTTTCTGGGCTCAATCAGAATATTGCTTGACACACGTAGCAAGTGGTGAGATACCAGGCTCACTCCCCATTCCTCCAAAGAACAGGGGAAGAGGGACTGGTTCTCTGAGAGAGAGGAGAAAGAGCCAATAGCTGACAGAAGTTGTGAAGATTAGGGGTGAGACAGCATTGCAGAAAGAAAGGAAATAGAATTAGAATTTGAAAGTCAAAAAATTATGGCATACGAAGTCTACAAGGACACAGATAAACGGTAACAGGACAGTAACTTCTCATAGTAAGTCTTTAAAATGCCTGAATACAAACACAGTTCTCAATATTTCATTCATGTCTTAAGAATCACAATGAAATTTTAAAATAGCAGGGTAAAAAGTTCAGTAACTGTCAGGGAAAAAAACCTAGTTAACAAAGGATGACATCGATTTTTTGAAGTGTATCTAAAATTATAATCTATCATAACAGATTCTTCTTTATAGGCAGAACTTACACAATTTCACAAAAAAAGACTAGAAAAGAAAAGCATCCTTAAATAATTTACATTTGCTATGTTCATATATAACATTTGTCCTGGAAAATTCCTCAAATGTCAAATTTACCTTCAACTACTTGCTTTTCTTCTTCCTCTTTGATTTGATTGGCAACTTTCTCCAATTCTTCTTGCAACTGAGTCGAAGAGGTATGAGCGCGGGCAAACTCATTCAGTGTCTGCCAAGCACTTTTCAGAGAGCTAATAAAACCCTGCTTCAAATCAGATCCCATACGAGAGAGACTTTCTTTCAGCTCTAAAGAGATTAAGATGACACACCAAATTAGTCACTGGTAAAATTCTGCACCACAGAAATAAAAAGTTAACTTTCTTCTCAGACAGGTTAGGATCTCTTCCCCCAAATGCCAAATATTTAGAGTGTCTCAGCCAAGAGCCTTCAACATGGTAAAATGCCATGGACCATTTTATTCTGTTTTTTTTTAAATGACTAATATGATCCAGTTTAAACCTACACATTCCCTCTCTCAGAAAAAAGTTTAAATACCATAAAAACATAAACACATTCATATACTTTTTTACTAGAAGTTTAAAAAATGGGTGCACAAAACTAAAAATCACTGCTTTTCTAATCTGTTATAGGGAAATAGCTTTGAGAATTTAAGATTCTGATATAACCACAATTTAAACCTCCGACTTAGAAAGAAGGAAAGCCCCATTCTTTGACTACTTCTCTTGTATAATAATCACATTTGAATTCAAGGTCTCTGGGTTACTAAATTTCTTCTTTTTGTTTGTGGGGTGTTTTTTTTTCATTTGTTTGTTTTGTTTTTTGAGACAGGATCTTGCCATGTGGTTCAGGCTGGCCTTGAACTCACTATGTAGCCCAGGCTGGCCTCCAGGCTCAGCCTCCCAAGTGCTGAGATTATAGGCGTGTGCCACTACATCCTGCTTGTTTTGTTTTCTGAGATAAGGTCTAGCTATGTTGCCCAAACTGGCCTTGATCTAGCTTGCAGTCCTGACTAAGCCTCCAGAATGCTAGAACTACAGGCATATACATTAACACAACTGACTCTCAAATTTCTCATTTTAACTTTCAAAGAGTTAAATATTTTGTAGCAAAACAAATAAAAAACATACTTTTAAATAAGAAGACATAAACCGGGCATAGTGGCACACGCCTGTAATCCCAGCACTCGGGAGGCTGAGGCAGGAGGACCACTTTGAGTTCAGGCCAACCTGGGCTATATAGAGGGTTCAAGGCCAGCCTGAACTAAACCCTGTCTCAAAATACAAACAAAACAAACAAGAAGACATGATTATTTGTTCTCTTTATAGACTCAACCCTTCCACCCAAACCTTTAAACCTAAGGATAAGTACTATATGCCATTAACAGACAAAATCAAAATCTAAACCCCACTTGAAATTATCAATCCATTATGTTTAATGATTTTTTATTTTTGGTGGTGCTGGGGAATCAAATCCAGAGCTTAAGCATATTCTACCACTGAGCTACATTGCCAGCCCCACTTGATGTATTTTTTTAATAGGAAAAGTTTATCTACTTAGCAAGAAAATAAAACTCATTTGATTTAGACAACATCAAATCTATTTCTTGATGGTTTGGTCATTAATTGAAATGTTACTTTCTTCCCAATTTCAAGAATTATAACCAAACTATCAAAATCTAATTATAAATCTTATCACCTTATTACCAACCTCCCCACCCCATTTCTAATTACCTTGACAATTACAATCCCATCAAAGAAACAATTCATTTATAACTTTATAGCTCCTCCAAATCCTTACTAAAAGTTCTGAATACAGTAGGCACTTAATTAACATTCATTCTATAAGAATAAATAAATTTTCATAATTCATTACATATTATAATATGACAGGAAGGAAACAAGTTTTTATATTCATTTCTTACCTAAATGAAGTCTTTTTCTGCCTTTGTGATGTGGAATAAGAACTGCTTTTAGGTCCAAATCTGGAACAATCATAGGTTCTAATCTATATGCCACTGGGTCGAGCTGTGAATAGAGAATTGGAAACTGATGCAAAGCTGCTTTGAGTTATATGCCTCAGCTGGTTAAGAAAAGAGATAACCGGTAAACCAGAGAGTTTGGCCTTTTTTCTATTATTCAAATATTGGCAATTGTAGATTTCTAGATTTGTGGTAAAATTACTTTTCAAACAAAGCAAGAGAACTATTTGAACAACAGCTTTCTGAAGAAAAGTTTACTGGAAAGTATGAGACCATATCTCTTGGGAAGAGAGCTGAGCCTTAAAAAATCAGGATCAATATTAATTCCCAAGATATACGAATCTGAGAATCTATTCAGATAAAAATGACAGGTTCTTCATCTTCTTCAAAACAGAAAGTCAATTTAATTCACTCACCGGATGATATATATTGAAGAATCCTTTACATGTAGGGAGCTTATAGTTCTCATCAATCCTATCCACTCCTCGAATAGTGAGAAACATACCAATTGGAGATCCCAAAGCAAAGAAAATCTCTGGTTCAAAGTCTAATGAGTTGTGAACAACAGAAACCTAAAAGAACCAAATACCAATAAAAGATGATCATTCCGACAGCATAAAGTACAATATTCTTCTGAATTTTCAAGTTTTTTTGTTTGTTGGTTGGTTTTTTGGTGTTTTGTAGTTGTTGTTGGGGGGTGAAGGGAGATATTTGGGATTGAACCCACAGGCACTCTACCACTGAGCTACCTCTCTACTCTTTCTTATTGTTTCTTTTGAGAAAGGATCTTGCTAAGTTGTCCAGGCTGAACTCAAACTTACGATCTTCTTGCCTCAGCCTCTGAGTATCAAGGATAACAAGTGTGTCACGGGAACCAGTGTCTTCAAATATTGTTGGACCTACATTTACAAGCATTCAAACACAGATGATGCCCCTCAAAGATAGTTGTTATTAGCTTAAAGGACTAAAAAGATTTCTCTTTAAAAATTTACAGTTTGGTACATCCTGACTATATTTTAATTTACTGCCTAGTATAACACAGTATGTAAATACTGTTATATTTATACAGTTATAATTGTGATCAGAACTGCAGAACCTGGAGTCATTTTGCCTGAGTTTGAATCTCCCTCATATTCACTGTGTGTCCTTGGGTAACCTCTCTCACCTCTGCCTCAGTTTCTTCGTCTATAGGATTCTTTTTTTTTTTTTGGTACCAGGGATCAAATTCGGAACCATCCACTTGCGAAGCAGGCAACAGCACCACTGAGCTTTCCTCTTCTATAAAGTGGGGATTATAATAATATCAAACCCAACATAGAGGAAAAAATTAACCAAATCCACATAAGGGCTTAGCAAAGAGCCTGGCAGACCTTAAGCATTCCATATGTGATATTTTTATTATAACTTTCATCTTCTCTAGCTAATGCAAGTTTCCTTCCATCCATAAAATGATCTGTCCCAAAAGAGCTCACTCTGAATAGCCTGACCACTTGCATAGTACTCTAAACTTGCAAATCTCATTTTTTCCACAGTGACAGGAAAATGTCTGTCATTTTAGAATCTTGAGAGCAAAGAAGTGAGTGGCATAATCCACATGCTCAGCAGGTCTACCGAAAGAGAGAGAGAAGGCAAAACTCACCACGCCCACTTCTCAGATGAAGATGGTAAAGCTCAGAGGGGTAACATGACTTACCTAAAGGAACGTGGCCAGTGAAAGAATGAGGACTTAGACCCAACACTTCTAATTCCAAATCCAACATTTTTTCTACTATACTAACTGGGCAGCCTTCTAACAGAAAAGACTTCACATCCCTAGGTTGGCCATTATGTTTGCAAATTTGATAGTTTTGCTCCACCATAAAAAAAAGGAGGGGAAAAAAGGAAAAATTACAAACAGGAAAAAAATATCTGCAATATATATGACAAGGGATAAAGACTACTAACATATAAAGATGTATGAATCAGTAAGAGCAATAACAAATGTAATTCATTACATAAATACAAGCAATGAAAAAAATCACATGATCATCTCAATAGACACAGAAAAAGCTTTTGACATAATCTAACACCCATTTATGATAAAAAAAAAAATCCCTGAAGAAAATAGGAATAGATCTCTATCTCAATCTGATAAAAACCATCTATAACAAACCACCAGCCAACATCATACTAAATAAGAGAGTGAAAGCTTTCCCTTTCTCTAAAGTCAGGAACAAGAGGAGGATATCTGTTATCACCACTTCTGTTCAATATAGTTCTCAAACATTAGCTAGAACAATTAGACAAGAGAAAGAAATAAAAGGGATATAGATAGGCAAGGAAATGGTTAAATTATCATTATTTGCAAATGATATGATCCTTTGCATAGAAGGCCCAAAAAACTCCACCAAAAGACTCCTAGAACTAATAAACAAATTCAGTTATATAGCAGGATACAAAGTCAACACTCAACAATCAATAGTGTTCCTGTACACCAACAACAAACTCACCAAGAGGGAAATTTGAGGAAACAATACCTTTCACAATAGCATCAAGCAAAATGGAATACTTAAGAATTAACCTGTCGTAGTTACTTTCCTAGTTGCTGAGACAAAATACCCAACACCCACAAGTTAAGGGAGGAAAGGTTTATTTAGGTCACAGTTTGTAGGTTTCAGTCCATAATCAGCTGGCTGCAAGGCAGGGTGTCATGGAAGGCAGAAGACAGAAGGCAGGAGGCACCAAACTACAAGTGACAACAGTAGCTTCTTTCTGTCCCTTTTATATTCTATCTAGGCTAGCCAGCTTAGGGTGGGTGTCAAACCAATCAGTGGACTGATTTTTTTCAATACCCTTAATCCCAGCATCATACACTCTAGATCCAGCCACCTCTGCAAAAGCCCCAACTATGACTACATGAGGCTTTCAGGGGGACATCTAGACACTAGCTATAACATAACCTAATGAAGTGATAGACCTCTACATCAAAGACTATAGCACTCTGAAAAGGAGACTGAAGAAGGTATCAGAAAATGGAAAGATAGCTCCTATTCCTGGATAGGTAGAATCAATATAGCCAAAAATGATCATACTTCCAAAACTGTCATATAGATTTAATGCAATTCCAATCAAAATATCAATACCATTCCTTACAGAACTGGAGAAAACAATCCTAAAACTCCCTGACAAGTTGTATTACAAAGCTACAGTGAAAAAAACAGCACAGTATTGGCCAAAACAACAGACTTGTGAATCAATGGAAGAGAATAGAAGATACAGAAACAACTCCAGGGACACTTATGCTATCTTTGACAAAGAATCAGTTAAAGAGGAAAGAGAGCCTCTTTAACAAATGGTGCTGAGAAAACTGGCTTTCCATATGCCAAAGGCTGAACCTAGACCCCTATCTCTCACCAGGCACTAAACTAAAATCTAAATGGATCAAAGATCTAAACATCAGAACAGAAACATGTAATCTGCTAGAAAACAAAATAGGTAAAACTCTCAAAGACATAGGCGGAGGCAAAGACTTTCTGAACAAAAACCCAGTTGCGTAAGAAACAATATCAAAAATCAACAAATGGAATCACATCAAGTTAAAAAGCTTTTACACAGTAAAGGAAACCACCAACCAAGTGAAGAAATAGGGCCAGGGATTTAGCTCAGTGGTTTCGCCGCCTGCTGTGCAAGCGCAAGGACCCGAGTTCAATCCCCACTACCAAAAAAAAACAAAACAAACAAACAAAAAAACAAAGTGAAGAAACAACCTACAGAATGGGAAAACATTTTTGCTAGTTATGCCTCAAACAAAAGACTAACCTCTACAATATAGAAAGAACTCAAAAAAATTAGACACCCAAATGTAAAAACCCAATTGGAAAATGAGCATCTGAAGTAAATATACATTTCAGATGAAGAAATACAGCCAAGAAATCCATGAAAAAATGTTCAACATCACTGACCATTCAAGAAATGCAAATTAAAACAACATTAAGATGCCATCTCACCTCAGAAAGAATGGCTACCACCAAGAAATCAACCAGTAACAGATGCTGGCAAGGTTGTGGGGGAAAAGGAATCCTTCTCTTCATTGTTGGTGAGAGTGTAAACTGATAGGACCACTGTGCATATCAGTATGGAGATTCCTTAAAAAACTAAAAGTAGATGGCCAGGGATTTAGCTCAGTGGTTCCACCGCCTGCCTCACTAGTGCAAGGTCCCCAGTTCAATCCCCCGTACCAAAAAAAAAAAAAAAAAACTAAACTAAAAGTAGAAATTCCATATGATCCAGGTATTCCCCTTCTAGGTATCTTCCCAAAAGAGTTAAAGACATTATACCACAGTGAAGTATACATACCTATGTTTATAGCAGCACAATTCTTAATAGCTAAATCTTGGAAACAGCCTTTATGTCCATCAATAGATGAATAGATAAAGAAAATGTGATATTTATACACAATGGAGTACTACTCTGCTATAAAGAAGGATAAACTTGAGGCATTTGTAGGAAAACAGATGCACCTTGAGACCACAATATTAAGTGAAGTAAGTCAGACACACAAGCTTAAATATTGCATGGTTTCTCTTCTATAAAAAACTTAATATATGAGTAAAGGACAAAATAAAAGACAGATAACAGGAAAAAAAGAGAAAGTTATTGTATTCTAGGTATGTGTCTGCTGTTGTTTTCTGGTTTCACTCCAACATGGTGTGAGAGCTTACTTTGCAGGATTTCCATTTTTTGGATATGTTAAGGTCTTTATTATGGCTATGAATGTCTATTTGGGTATTTCTCTTGATTTTGAGAGGACTGAGTACTCTGCAGTTTCTGCATACAGTATAATGCTCCACTTGAGGCATGGTGTTGATTTTAACTGTTCCATTACAGATTTTTCTTTCTTTAGCTGTCAATTACTGAAGGAGGTATTTTGAAATTTTCAATAATATTTGTGGATCTATGATTTTCCCTTCAGTTTCATGTCTTTGCCTTACGCAGTTGGGTGCTTTATTATTTATTTAGTGAAATATGCATTGAGAACTATTAGTTATTGTTACAGAACTGCCTTTTACATCATTATATGATCAGTGTAACCCTTGTTTACTCTGAAGTACAAATTGAACAGTGTCAAATTACTTATAGCTTCAGCATGTTTTGTTGAGTCAATGCCAGACTAGTGTATCTGTCTGCATAATTTTCTATTTGATCTGTTTTTATGTTTACCTTCTATTTGTTACATTTTTTAAAATATCTCTATACTTTCCAATAGGTAAATAAAAAGTAAAAAAAAAAAAATCAGTAAAAGCAGAAATTCAATAGAAACTGGCAAATTTAGCACTTCATGAGAGAGACAATATCTAACATCTTAAATGTTCAAAGAAATACAGTGTGAGCCAGGCATGGTGATACATGCCAGTAATTCCAGCTGCTTGAAAGACTGAGGCAGGAGGATCCCAAGTTTGAGGCAGCCTGGGCAATGTAGGGAGACCCTGTCACTAAAAATAATAAAAGGGGGAGAGGGGATTGGGGATGCAGCTCTGTGGCAGAGTAAGTGTAAAGCCCTGGGTTCAATCTCCAGTAGAAGGAAGGGAGAAAGAAAGGAAGGGAAGGAGAAAGGGAAGGAGGGAAGGAGGGAGGGAGGGAAAAAGAGAAAAAAAAGGGAAAACAAGAAATAAAACGTGATACCAATTTTCTTATAAGGTTAACAGAAACATAAATGAAATATTAAAAGAGCATTAAAAATCTATTTTCACGTAAAAATTTTTTTCTTTAGAACAAAGTGTAAGACCGAGACTACTATGTATTTTTAAAGGACATTAAGGGCCGGAGGTGTAGTTCAGTAGTACAGTATTTGCCCAGCACGTGTGAGGCATGGGATAGATCTCCAGCACTGAAAAAAAGTTTTGTTTTTTTTTAAAAGGACAATGATAGAATGACAACACCCGTACTGACAAGGAACAGGTGAGAGGGGTAACCTTTGCCAGTGTAGGTTGGAGCCTCTTAAACAGCTGGTGGGAGACAAATCGATACCTTTCAGGAATAAGTAGCAGTAACTATGAGAATTTAAAAAAAAAAAAAAAAAAAAATTTTTCATGTGTATATCCTCTGGCCCAGCTACCCTATTTTTCCCAATTTAACGAAAGAAATAAAGAAAATGCACAGAAAATTGTTTTCAAAATGTTTACCAATGGATTGCTTAAAAGAATGAAAACCTGCCAGGCATGGTGGCATATGCCTAGAGTCCCAGCACTTGGGAGACTGATGCATAGGATCGCTGAGAGTTTCAGGAGGAGCCCAGCCTGGGCTACGTAGTTCAAAAGCCAGCCTGACTACACAGCGAGACCATCTCAAAAAAACAAACAAAAAAGAATGAACTACTACAAATTATCTACATGTTCAATGTTAGGGGCTGAATTATGCCTCCTCCAAAAAGATACATTAAAGTCTTAACTACCAGTACCTCAGAATGTAACTTTATTTGGAAATAGAATCAATCAATCAATCTTTCTGTTTGCTTTTTGTTGTTGTGTTTGTTTGTTACTGGGAATTGAATCCAAGGCCTCTGATTGAGTTATATCCTCAGTCCTTTTCCATTTTTTAATTCTGAGACAGGGTCTCCCTGAGTTGCCCAGGCTGGGCTCCAACTTGTGATCCTCCCACCTCTGCCTCCCAGAGAGCTAGGATACAAGTATACACCACCCTACCCAGCGGCTATTGTTTGGAGTGCCAGCAACTCTTTGGATAATAGATCCTGTCTGCCTGCCTTGACTCACCTACCTTAGAGGTGGCAAGTGACTTAGACTCGGTCAATCAACCTGTGGCCCATTATCAAGGCCACAAATTGGTCCAGAATGGACTCAAACCAGGTCAAGTAAAATCACTCCTTAAAATTTTCCTAACCGGACTCAACAGGATAGACTCAGTTTTCTGCGTGGTCCTAACACTGAAAGGAAATGACCCAGAGTTCATAGAGAAGGCTCCATCTAAGAAAGGGGTGGGCAGTGAGTGTCATAGCAGCTCATAACCCTTTTATACACTCAGCCTTTGCAGAGAGACAATGAAACATCTGCCTTTTATTTGCTAGTCTGCAGAAATTTGCTCATGTTTGAAAAAGACATTTTTAAAATGCAATCATTAAGAGTCAATCTGGGGGGCCAGGGATTTAGCTCAGTTTGTTCCACCGCCTGCCTCGCAAGCACAAGGTCCTGAGTTCGATCTCCAGCACCCAAAAAAAAAAAAATCAAATATCAAGTTCCATTTTGAGCCTCCATGAATCTTCTTTATGGTGATGAATCTTTATACTGCATGTAAAATTGGAAATAGGCTGAAAGTAACATAGTTTAAAAGGACTGTAATATTTCTTTTTTCTTTCTTTTTTCATTTTTTTGACACTATGTATTTCAGGCTGGCCTTGAACTCACTCTGCAATAGTCTAGGTTGGCCTGGAACTCTCAGTGATCCTCCTGCCTTCGCCTTCTAAGTGGTGGGATTACAGACCTGCACCACCACACTGGGCTGATATTGATGCAGAGGGAACAGATGTAACTCCCAAACCTGCTAGATATCTGAAACATGAATTCGTGTTCTCTATTATCAAAGAATGAATTCTAGGAATCACGGAGGTTAAGAGAAGGAAAAATTTATTGAGAGAAAGATAGCTTCTGTCTATGAGAGACAGAAGGGGGACCTGAAAATGGGTTGCCCCAGGAACATAATATTTTAAGCCACTGAGATACAAGTACATTAAAGTATATTGTTAAATGTAGTATTATCAACTACCTGGTTAATTTTTATAGGAATTGTTCCCCAAGGCAAGAATTGTGAATACTAGAAAACTCAAGTGAGTACAGCAAATTTCTCACACAAGAATTTAGTTACATTCTGAATATAATTTTCTAACTGTAGACAATTCTATTGTTAATGGTTCTAAGACTAATGCTGCAAAATTATGAATTGTGGAAAAACCAAAATAAAAACAACTTCAAAAGCTAAATGTCCTCTATATGTCCAATCTCTTATTCTGAAGATTATAAAAAGCATACAATTTTTACTGAAAGAAAATCAATTTTCTCTGCTTAGCCACAAATAAATGTTATTAAGTACTTAAAGAATATAGTCAAGTCAATGGGGAAAAAATAAGAACCAAGATGAATTATATAAAGGTACAATTCCCAATGAGAAATGTAATTGTGTTGTATACCTACAATGTATCAATAAAAGAATTTAATACAAAAAAAAAAAGAATATAGTCAAGTCAAATACAAAGCCAAGTCAATGTAAAGATATATAATTCCAACAGAAAACATGCAGCCCTAGTCTATGTAACTTACCTGTCCCGTGCCAACTTCAAAGGACTCATAATCAACATGTACAGAAGATACGTAAGCACCAACTGGAAGTTTCCTCTTTGACTCATTGGTTTCTGAGGGGAGAGAAGCCACTGCTTTAGCTTTTGGAATGTTCTCCTCCTGTCCTTTCACTGGAGAGGCCATAACTGCCTTCTTTTCTGATGCTGCTCTCTCCTGTTCCTGCGAAATACCAAAATTTCTTAACTGAATCTTGAGAAAAAGTTTAAAACTCAATTATCACTACAAAACACGCTATCTCAGATGTGTTGTGTACATGTGCCAATTCCCCATGATGAATGTAATCATTATGTACTAGGGGCAGGGATTTAGCTTAGTGGTTTCACCACCTGCTGTGCAAGCACCAAGGACCCGACTTCGATCCTCCATACCAAAAAAAAAAAAAAAAAGTGACAAAACAAATGTCCTGCTAAGAGATGCTAAACATTTAAGGAAAAATGTCATAATGTCTATAATTTACTTTAAAATTCTTAACTGAAAAAAATGACCAAAGAAAAAATAGAACAAAACAGCTATAATTAAATCTAAATAGACCAGGTTTGAAACTCACAACCTTTGTTCAGGGAGCTCGCTCAGTCCCAGGAAAACCTGGATGATCAGTCAGCCTAATCTTGATTTAAAACCAGTTCTGACAGATTTGAGAGCCTGGGCTTCCATCAGCTTCATTACTGTGCCCTACGCAGGAGCACACAAGCTTGCCTAATCACAGGCAGTATTAAAAATTTCTAAAATAAAAATGAGTTGGTCACACAACGAGTGTTGGGCTTTCTTGAGCACAGACATGAACTTTACCAGTTTGGCTGCTTTCAGTTTTACAAAGTTGGCTATCTTCTTTCTTGGTCCAAGAGGTATCCCCATTTCCTTCAGGTCATCAACTGTACACATAAGCTTTAAAACAAACAAGCACATCAATTAATCTAGAGATAGATGAACAGATTAAATGTAAAAATTATAAAAAACCATCTAAAACAACTTAAGAGCCAGTCAACTTTTAAGAAGCTAATTTTTTAGTTTTTAAATAAAAGATTCACTTAAGCTACAAATCTTAGGCCTCTACACCTGACACATTCTGAAATTTTTTTTAACAGAGAACATATGCATAGCATATGAATTCCAAAGCTACAGTCAAGCCTAAGATGAAGTCTCTCCTATCCATTCCTGTCCCAACCACCCAATTCTCCTCTCAGCAAGAACTGCTAATTTCCTCTCCTTGCAGAGGTGTCTTATGCGTACACAGCACCTATGAGTTTTTGTGTATGTAGTCTACATACACACAGTGTGAACTTCACTCTTTTCACATGATGTATCTCCGATCAGTTTCTCTGATAGGTTTTTACTCATTCAACAGCTGCAGGTACCCTACTGTGTGCATGCACCATAGTGATTTAACTAATGTCCTACTAGTGGATGCTGAAAGTGTCCGAAGGTTTCACTGTGTAATAAACAGTGCCTCAGTCATCCTTGTAGATTTCTTGTGAATATTTTTCTATGGAAAATATTCCTGGTAGTAAAACTGGTAGGGCAAGGGTATGTAATTTTTATATTTTAAAAGATATTACAAAACTATCTATAGAGGTTTTATATCAACTATAAAAAGAAAATCAACTTACATTCCAATTTAAATTACCAATTTATATTCTCACCAACAACATATAATAGTGCCTACTTCTCTTCATCCTGCTCACAGAGTATATTACCAAATGTATTTTTCTCAAGCTGATAGGTCAAAAAAAAGCTACTGCACTTCTAATCTGCATTTCTCTTATGAGTTTTCATATGATAAGAAGCCACTTATTTCCTTTTCTAGAATTCGTCTTTTTATAGTCTTTTCCTGTTTACCTATTACTTTCTTACCAATAGCTTTGTATAAGCTTTGACTATTAAGGAAATATGCCCTCTGTCTGCAACATGTGTTCCAAATATTTTTCTTAATCTATTACTGGCCTTTAGATGTTGCTTATCATGTCTACTGCTTTGTATTTCTTTGTCTTTTATGGATTCTGGGTTTTGTGTCATACTTACCAAAGCTTTCACATTTTCTAAAAATAATTCCATTTTGCTCAAATTCTTAAACAACTAAGTCCTTCCCTTATTTGATCTGTTTAAGCCATTCCGTTTGTTGGTTTTTTTTAGTACCAGGGATTGAACTCAGGTCCTTGAGCTTGCGAGGCAGGCAGCGGAACCACTGAGCTAAATCCCTGGCCCCAGTTTAAGCCACTCTTAATTCTGAATCTTATAGGAAAAATTTTAACCAAAAAAATGAATCAAATTATCAATACCAGAGATTCCGTATCAATCTTTTCCTTTTCAAAAGTGCTAACATATTCAGAGAGGCTAAGCGCTTCCAGAGTTGCTTGCAAAGTTAGAACTTCTTCATTTTCAACATCAAGGTCACATGATTCATCGAAAGTCAGCTTTGACTCTTCAGTTATCTTAATAGGAAAACAAAAGGAACATTACAAAGCTCAGAAAAATTCCCATAGAATGTCTCCTGATCTATAGGATACTTTAAACAATTTTGCCCTATAGATAAAATCATAATTTTAGGTACTGTGCATTCAGTGTTTGAATATTCTGAAACACGTAAGTTTAATAATTCACTCATGTTCTTACCTCTTACGGTAATTTATTTCACATTTTAAAAAATAATGAACTTTCACATTTACAGTTATAATCCATAAGGAAAAAGAAACACACAATGAGCTGTGTGAATTCATTATACTTGTGAACCTCAATGTATTTTAATACATAAAAACTGTTTCCAAATAAAAAA